GAGAGTCCAAGGCTGGTCCTCAGAGTGTGTGAAAACTTCCTAAATCACACAGGGCCTGGCGCAGGCAAGGACAGTTGGCTCTTTTGCTCACAATTTATGGCTCAGAGAACTGGGATTACTTTTTCCCAAAGATTAGTTGAACTCTGTAAAGTTGAGTCAGACAAACTGTCAATCCACAAAGAAATAAATGTAAACCAAGAAGTCCCCCTAAAACTAGCATGCCTAGTTGCTACCTCCATGCTACCTCGATACAAAGAAACCAATACCCAGCTTGACTGCAGGGTGGGGTTGTGTGTGAGAGGGACCACTCTAAGACCTTTCCATCACTGAGGCTGCCTTTACTGTGTGCCAACAGTGATCATGTCCTTGCACCCACTTCCTTTAACCCTGCAAGGCAGGCGTGAAAAACCAGTTGTCATCGAGTTGACTCATAATGACCCCATGTGTATCAGAATAGAACTGAGCTCCATAGGGTTTGCAATGGCTGGTTGTTCAGAATTAAATCACCAAGCCTTTCTTTCAAGGCATTTCCAGGTGGACTCCAACCTCTAACCTTACAGTTAGCAGCTGTACATGTTAAGCATTTATGCCACCAGGGACTCCATGGCAGGCATAGCTGTATGCTACATATGAGGAAATAAAGGCTCTGAAAAGTGACATGGCCAACATCATTCAGTTGGTAGAAGCTTGAACCAAAATCCAAATACAGATCTGACTGACTCCAAAGTCTGTGTCTTCCCACCCCACGAAGCCCCTCTTCTTTGCTGCTTGCTGTGTAGTCAGAATCACTCTTCTCAAGTCCAAGAGAGGAAAGGAAGTCCTGACAAAAGCCAGGCCTCCACTATAGCTCAAGACGGGAGTTGAGAAACACATTGGGTGTCTAATTGATCCCTTTGCCAGGAGCAGATTACCCAGTAAGTAATGTAAGCATGGGCTTACTTGTGCTTACTTATAACCTGTAGTGAACAATTTCACCACATCAAAGATTCTGCTTCCAGGTATGGCTGGCATCATCACCACAGCACCGTCCTACAGAATCATAGCCTTTTTTCAAGTTTACAATCCCTGACAGAGATGGAGTACCCAGTAAGCACAGGTAAGCATGAGCTTACCTGTGCTTATTTACTAATCTGTAGTGAGGTTGTGAAACTGCCCATACTTTGAAACAGACAGACCAGCTCTGCTTTAAATGGTTTTATTAAAAACTGTACCAACTGACAGGAGAAAAGATACGTATACATATACATGTGAACAACATAAAGCCAAATACTCTGTACAGGTAAGCAAAAAAAAAAAAAAGGTCCCATTCCCCTCCCTCTCTTTCCCTGTACCTGTCCCAAACCAGAGTCCAGAGACCCCCCAGGGCAACCAACCTGGGGATGAACAAAATGCTACATTCTCACTGGGTCTCCCCCTGGACAGCCCCTGTGGATCAGGGGATGGGACAGGCTGCCGGGCAGTGCTTACAGAGGAGGGAGAGACGGCCACCTGACCAGAGTGGCTACGCAGCCCAGGAGCCAGCTCTAGCACCCGACTGGCAAGGGCCAGCACCTTCGCCCCTGGATGCAGGCGCCTCTATGGCTGAACCAGCCCTTTTTTTTTTTCCCGTTAGTCCTTCAAGGCTTAAGTACCCACCAGCTCTAAGTCGACCCACTGCCCACGGTTTTTCCCCAAGCCTTCGCAGTCTGATAGGTTAACCCATTCCTGAAAGAGTCCCGCCAGAGTGGCCTCTCCCCAAGGGTCCCCGCCTACACACACTGATTGGCAGGAAACCACGACAGTCAGTGGCTCCCCCTCCCCCTTCCTGGGAGGCTTCGCGGTGATGAAGACCCTTTGGAGTCTCTCAACCACCTCCTCCGATTGGGTTGCCTCCGGGCAATGCTGAGATGCTGGGGCCGGAGCCCCGACAGGCGGCCGCCGGCGGCGGCGGGAGTGGGGGGAGTTTTCCTGGGCTAGCCTGGTCAGCCCGGCCCCTCTGAACAGGCCTCATAAGCTCTGGACACAGACCCATTCCCTGGGGGCTGGAGGAAGTCACTCAGAGGTGATCTTTTTCCACCTCGGATTGAGCAAGAGAAGGCCGCTGCGGGGGTGGGGGCAGCTCTCCAGCGGTTCAAACTGAAAGAGTCCGAGGCAGCGCAAGCCAGTCTAAGTCCTCGTTGGGGGAGTCAGACGTCTGGCCTGGGGGGCTCCGTTCCCAGCTCTGTCCACAGGCTTCTAGAGACTCCTACTCTGGGGTTCTGAATTAGAAGGGCTGTTCTGACCATGACTATCGGGCTGCCGTCCTCCAGGGCATTTCTGCACAGAGGAGAGAGGTTTTCAGTCCTTCTCCCCAACCGGCTCCGCTCAGTTCCCAGCACAAAAGCCCCACAATTCTTTAGCTGGCTACAGGTCAGGACCCAGCTCAGACTCTCCCTCCCTCTAAAACCTGATTCCCCACCTCCTCACTGGAGACACCCAGGCTCCTGGGGGTGGGAGCAGGGGCCCAGAGGGAGAGGCGTGTCTCCTGAGGCTGGAATGTTCTGGCCAACTCACCAGGCTGAGGGGGAAGGGACCAGTGTAGATGACTAGACCAATTAAAACAGCCAGCCAGGAGGAACCTCTCTAGTTTCTGAGGCTATTCTGCCAGCTACCACCTGGGTTTTTGTTTTGTTTTGGGGTCGGGGGAGTAAGAAGGTGGGACACTAAATTTTGCCCAGGCTTGACTAAGGATAATGAGTTAGTTCCTGGCCTCACACAAGATGGACAGTGCAGTTGGACCACCCTTAACCTGGCCCCAGTGTTCAATGGGCTTATCAAACTCTGGGTTCAGTTGTCAGGATAGGCCACAAGGCATCTAGCCTGGGCCTGCCTAGGTCTCTGAAGCTGCTGGCTGTGCCTCAGTACCAAAGCCTGGACCATTTGCTCTCTTACACACATATATGCATGTGTGGAAAGCTCAGGTGGAAAGTCTGCAAAATGGACTACAAAGTAGCCAGTATAAGTAATCCTGGTTTCCTTATGTGTGCCACCCAAACGTACATCAGTAACCAGTTTGTCACAGCCTTGCTCCAGGAGATGAGAAAACAACCCATTTCCTGCATATACATCATCAAATGGTATGAAGACATGCAGGGAAGGCTGGATTTCACAATGGTCAACACGTCCCAGAGCCAGTCTTCTTGCCTGTTCCCTGGGCTCCTTCTCTTTGTAAGCAGAAACCCACCTTCGTAGCAGACAAACCACGGTACACACCCTGAGAATGTAATTCTGGCCCAAAAGAGGTAATAATACCTCCAGAACATCCAAGCAGAATAAAACAAAGGATTACACACAGTTTGAGGTCCTCCTCAGATCCACTGTAAGTTCATATGACACCTTCACGCAAAATAGGAAAAGGTACCCCTTCTCTGTGCCGATACAACCCACATAACAGCATATAACTTTAGTGAGCTGAGCACAGGCTGGATTTTAGCCTCCAATTAAGTTCCCTCTGCATGTGCCCTTGTGCAGTGAACAACCTGCCCAACTGTACATCCCTATCAATGCCCCCCTTCAACAGCACCGAAGACCTCCTCCCTGCAAAATCAGAGAAGCTTGGGCTTGTTCAGGTTTGACAGTCCATTTTGGATTCCTCCTCCAATGTCCTTGGGTAGCCCCTGGGGTTATCTCCGCCCAAGGATGCTACCTTTTATTTGGGCTTTGCTTCACCTTTAGCACCAATGTTGTCTTTACTTAGATCTGCAAAAATTATAATTTAATTTCTAGAGGTCTGGCTAACAGATTCCCTGTGTTTGTTTTCAGATAGGTCTGCTATCAGACCTGCCAGACAGGCTGCTTTAAATTCTCTCCATTAATGCCACAGCAGGGAGAGAAAGGAAGAAGTTCAGAGGCAGCTGTGGTCCTGCTGAGTTCCAGAGCTTGCCTTTCTGGCCTCACCGGAAGCTGGAGGAAGACAGGAAATGTGTACCCAGCTTTGACGGTTTCACACTCTAATCACTGTCTGTTACTCTAAAAGATGCATTTCAGTTGACAAAACCACTGTCCTGGCTTCTTCCTGTATCCCACTAGGTGTGAAAAAGGAATGGGGGTAAGGAGGAGGAGGTACTTTGTTTCCAAGGAAACCCAGGGGTCTGGGTTCCTCTAGGGCTAACTTTTATAGATGGGGCAGTCACCACATTTCTCAGACCCACTGCAAACCTGTCCCCTTATGCCCTACAGGGGGTGAAGCTCAGTCAGGCAGGTGAAGTGCAGTCAGGTAGGCGGCTGGGTGTTTTTCAGGCTACTGCAGGATGACTGGCTATTCAGCACATCCATGGCTGACACCCCGCTGGTCCTAGGCATCCAGAAGTGGCAGTGGCTTTGCCCCTCCAAGTGAGACAAGGTCAGATTTGAGGTCTACCCAGAAGTGTGGTTCACCTGATGGCACATTTGAGGGGTCCTTGGAGAAACCCAACCCTCCCTGAGGTCTGCTGGAGATGACAGGGGCTGGGCAAGAATCCCTGAGCCCTTGAGGCAAGCACTGGCTGGACCAAATCAGAACCCAGACGTGAAGCAGGCTGACCGGCCAAGTGAAGTTGCCATGCTCAGCTGGAAAGTCCCTGGCTGAAGCCCTGGTGGGGTAATGCAGTGTTACCATCGAGATCACAGCCGCCATTCACGGTGGAAGACTGATAGGTCTGGTGGATCAGGGAGTCTAATTGAGTCTTCTTTCTCTTAATGGAGTTCCTGGGGAAAAGCTGCAGTCCACTCCCCAGAGGACATCTTCGACAACTGCTGACTGAAGAATCTACTTGTCAGAGCCTGTGAGTGATCCCACCATCACAGACACATCAGCCTTGCCTTCAACAGTGTTTGACAAAGGCCCCCGTTCCTGGTCAAGGCCTTGAACTGGGAAAGAAGGTCCCATTCAGGTATGTCTTATGTACACACAGAAAGAAATTTCAAAAATAAAAACACAAAAACAATTTCACAAGACATAGTGCCAGTCCTCCCCGATGTCCTTCCTGTTCCAGATGGTGCTCCTGGTGCCCCATGTGAAGAGGGCAGCCCAGTCTCACCTAGGACCTGCCCCGTTCCTGTTTTCTTCTCCATTCAAAGCGAGGTTGTGTAGGAAGAGGAAGACCTGCCACCATGCACGATTTCGGTTCTGCTGATGCTAAAAGGGGGGAAAATAAATCAATGTAACTCCCAAACACAACCTTATAGGACTCCTCACCTTTTCCAATAAAAGTTGAGATTTACATTTTCTCAGGCCAATATGTTAATCCTATCAGTATAGCAAAGGCCGGGGGGATGGCCAGGGAAGTAAGGAGGGAACAGAGAAGTGGTGCTAAGGAGGAGAAAGAGGAGTTCTAAAAACAACTGCAATTTTAACATGAAAAAGAAAAGACCTGGCTCTTTATGCACTGTGCACAAGAGGATTAAACTTTTTCCCCTGCTTGCAGGATTTTCCAGAGTTTAGCCAAGTGCTGCTTTTAATCAGATTGGCTCCTGAGCCCCTCAAACCTCAGCTGCATGAACAACAAACTTTCTTCAGAAAGAAAGAGAAGAAGTGCCCCCCTCTTTCCCCCTACTCCAAAGTAACACAGAGAACAAGGGGGAAAGGGAGGGGGAGCCTCCATCTGCAAGTGATTTGACACTGTGAAGGTCAAAGGGTTAATCTTCAATTTAAACCACACTGCTGAGGCAGCAAAAATCTGATTTCATCCAGTGCAAACACGCACACACACAGACACACAGACATACACATACTCCAGCGCCGGCCCTCTCTCCCTTCCCAGCATCTCCAGCTCGGTGCTGGCCTTTTTATAGCTGCTCTTGACAATAAGCCATAAATAATCCCTCTTGGAGCGCTTTCCTACTGACTGGAGCCAATTAAACGTTAAGCAAGAACATACTTGAAAACAAAACAAAAACAAAGAATGCACATTACGTTCGGAGGTTATCCCAGGTCCTACTGGTAAGCAGGGAAGCCTGAGGCAAAGTTCAGGGGTCAGTGGCTCACAGGATTGTGCTGGTGCCCCGCCCACACAGGTACCATTTCTCAGGGGCCAGCAGTGGCCCAGAGGGGACTGAGGGGTGCTGGGGAGGGGGCAAGGCTGGAGGAGGTGGGTCTTTGTTCTCTCTTTGTCAGGGGAGGAGGACTGGGTAGGGGCCCTCTGCACCAGTCCTCAATGGAATGGAAATAAAACCCTAGTGTGCAGAAAGGAGCTATCACAGGCTAGACCTGGATTCCTTCAGTGGGAGGTCAGCAAGAGAGTTTATGGGAAGCATCCGGGGACAGGAGGAGCCCTCTCTTAGGCTGTCTTTAACCACAGCACTGGCCCCCATCAGGCAACTCCCTGTCAGATGAGAGGATGATAGAGTAAGTCAGTGGCAGAACTGGAAAGTGAGCTCAGGCTTCCTGGACTCCCACGGCATCATGGTTACATCTGGCTACCAGGCTTCCCGACCTTTCCCCAGGCAACCATGCAGGTTGCTGGGTTTCCCTTCACTCTGCCTTAGGCCACGAAAAGATGAAATGAGAAAAGAACAGTCTACTGACCACTGAGGCTGACTTGAGGGTACTGACAACCCAGGTGAACATAGAATGCCCCCCTTCTGCACTGTCCATGGCAATAACATTCCTCTTTTCCCTGCAGAAGGAGGGCTGGAATAACAACCTAGAAAGTCAGAGGCACCACTACTGCTAGCAGAGGAAGGGAAATCGGGTGTGCCACAGGAGAAGGCCTGGCAGACAGTGATGATGGGGACTGATGGCTTCCTTGTGTTTTGTAAACAAAGATGAGTAAAAAGAGGAAACACCCCCGGCTTAACAAAATCTGGTTAGAATAGAACAGCATGAAAATGGACTCAGCTGCAAACCTGAAGACTCAGCCTCGCAGCAGCTGGGTAGAGCTCCCCTCCTTCTGTTCCCCACTCCCCACAGCTGCTGCTCAGGACAGGTGCAAAGGTCATATGGTGGAACAGAAGGAGAATCCAGGAAGACTGATCCCTGGAGAGGCTGGGCCGCTGGAATTCTGAGCCTCCTCAGGTGCCAGTTTGAAAAGGCCACGTAAGAAAAAAACAGTAACAATCCTGACAACAACATTGAGTGTGCCAGGCTCTGTTCTGAGCATTCCGCATCCTTGCTTCTCAAGGAGTGTTCCAGTAGCCTCAGCATCACCTGGTGCCTTGTCAAAAATGCAGACCTACTGAATCAGAATGTGCATTTTCACAATCTCCCCAGGTGATTTTGAGGCACACTGTGTAAAACACATTGTGTAAAACAATCCCTGGGTGGCACAAACGGTTAAGCACTTGGCTACTAACCAAAAGGTTAGTGGTTCAAACCCACCCAGTGGCACTGTGAAAGAAAGGCCTGGCAATCTGCTTCTGGAGAGATTACACCCCAGAAAACCCTATGGAGCAGTTCTTCTCTACTCTGTAACACACGGGGTTGCCATGAGGTGGAATTAACCCAACAGCAGTGGGTTTGGTTTTTTGGTTATAGTGTGAGAAGTACTGCCCTATAGGCACTAAACTCATTTGGTCCTTTCAACAACCCTATGAAGTGGGTATTTCTTATCATCTACATTTTTTTTCTTCCAATTATTTTGTTTGTCTCAATTGTGATTTGGGTAAAAATTTACAGAGCAGATTCATTTTCCATTTAACAGTTCATACACATTTTGTTTCATGACATTGATCCCCATAATGTAACAGCTCTCTTCCCACTTCCTCCCCGTGGGTTACCTTTTCCCTGTGTCCTTCTTTCCTATATACTCCCTGATCATCCATATGTCATAGATGAGAAAACAGAAAGGTTAGGTAACTTGGTCACAGAGCCATTAAGTGGCAGGGACTGGATGCAAGCCCAGACCACCTGGCTCTAGAGCCATGTCCTTACTTATTACCACTATGCTATGAGTGCCTCCATCCATCTTTTTTTGTACCCAAGCAGACCCTCTACCCTTCACTACCAGCAGTAGCATATCACCTCAAAACATCCCAACAGACAAGGAAAGAAAGGGAGATTACAATTTCTAAGATTTAGCGCATGGGCCAATCTCATTTCTATATGCCTCAGTTTCTCTCAAATTCCCCTAATGGAAGCCACCTGCTGACTAGTTAACTTCCTGGGCACTGAGGTATCTGGGTATGAGGCAAGGCAGCACCCCTGACCTCATGATTTGGGAATACTGGGGGACCAAAAGCAGCTGTGGGGCAGAGTGCTGTCACTGAGAGGCAGCCCACAGGCCATCAGGACAAATATCCCTTTTCTGAACACTAACCTCAAGCTATACCACAGCCATTCTCAAGCCTGCACATCCCAGAGCAGCTGCCCAGGGTAGCTGTGGTAAGCAGCTGGTCTCAGGCTGAGATATCCTTGAAGTAGCACTGAGACCCAGGTTCTAATCTTGGTTCTTCCCTGATCTAGCATATGACCCTGAAAAAATTCATTCTACCTCTTAGGACTATTTCCCCAACTATGAAATGAAAAGGCTGGATTAGATAATGTCTTGAGAACCTTCTAGTTCTAATATAAATCTAACATGAGCTGGCAGAAGGTGGATCTACCCCCAACAGTACGTGCTACATCATGGAAACTTTCAAACATCAGAATGTGTAGGAACAGGGAAACAATCAGGAAACTCTAATCACTTAGGAAAAAGGGCAAGAAGATCCAGACTCTTAAAAGAGGTAGTCTACAGTAGCCTCTCCTTCCTACCCCACCTGAGACCTAAGGATCTGCTATTTACAGGCAAGGCTAAGTTAGGAGGCAGAGCACACGGGCAGACCCTCAGGAAGGATTCTCATGTCCCTGTCTCTGCCTGTGAGAGTCCTTCCAAACCAAAAACACCAAACTCACTGCCGTCAAGTTGGATCCAACTCATAGCAACCCCTCCTTGGGTTTCTGAGGCGGTATCACTACAGAAGTAGAAAGCCCAATCTTCTGAGGAGTGGCTGGTAGGTTTGAACTGCCAGCCTTCTGGTTAGCAGTCAGATGCCTTGGGCACTATACCACCAAAGCTCCCGTGAGAGTCCTTAAGGCTCCTAATTCAGCAAGGAAGACACTATGGGTGGTGGACAGATGACTGGATCAGAAATCAGAGGACTCAACTTTAGGCTGGGATCTCCCACTAGCCAGCCTGTCTCTAAGTCCTCTTTCCTCATCAGTAAAATGAAGGTGTTGGATTACATCAGTGGTTTCCAAACCTTACCATGGCAACAGAACCAAAAGAGGTGCTGTTGTCAATGCAGAGTCTCACCCAGACCAACGGGGTCAGATTCTCCAGGGCAGGGGCCCAGGAACTTGTATTTTGAATAAGCTCCCTGGGGGACATTTTGAAAATCAGAGTATCATTACTATATATTTTAATCATACAAGTAATTTATGTTAATTGTAGAACAATTAGAAAATAAAGAAATTACAGAGGAAAAAATAAAATCAGTTATACTCCTATAGCCTAGAAGAAAACACTTAGCAATCTGGTGTTTCTTTCAGTCTCTTCCCACCAAAGTAATAACTAACCCTGGTGGCCAAGCCAAAGGTAAATCCTGCCCAAGTGGTTCTGCGGCAGCCAGGCCACAGACAGGCATTTGGAAATCACAGAGGTACTTTCATCCTAAGGTTAGGTGATTTGGAGTCTGTCATCCACAATTACCTGGTTTGGGGCCTGGGGAGCCTAGAGGACAGGCTGGCTTGCTACAGCATTAAATTGGCTGCTGCAACAGCCCTGAGATCAGTAGAGCAGGGCCTGGGAATCCATCTACCATCCCATCAGCCCCCTTTCTGGACCCGTCTTCTGCCACATGGCACCCCCTAGGAGGCCCTTTTCCAAAAGGAAATCAAATCTCTTGTACCAAGAGAATCAAAGAATGTTCTGGTTATGAGGGCCAACAATAAATAAAATATTTTTCTAAAAAACAAAAAGGAAAAAAAAAAAAAGTGACTTGAAGGAAGGCCAGTAAGAAAAACAGTAAGGAGGAAGGAAATCAACATTCACTGAACAAGATGAAGTACACAAAGACACCCAAACACCAGAAAACATGGATCCTTCCAAGAGAAGGTGCAGGGGAAAGAAAGGAGAAGGAAGGAGGAACCAGGAAGGAGCATGCTCGGCCTCTGATGCCCAGGCATCTGGCTCAGCACCTCACACATAATCTGAGCTC